ATTATGTGGCGACATGTGAAGCTAACACTTTTATTAGGAGTTCTCAGGATTTATTCACTTGGTTGTGTCGCAGTACTAAATATTAACAGTGTCATCTAGGACAGGTATCACATCCAGGCATGACCAAGTCTTTACCACAACACACACCTCAGGGTAGTAAACATGGGAAGGTGAACAGAGGAAATCTAGCACTTCCACAAAGTCAGAAGGCTCGACACAAACCACTAACCCACACTACTGCATCATCGGCTCGGTGTCTGAACACATGTCGGCTACAATAAACCGGACGTGTCTGCCCCCAGGTCACCAGTCTGCACGAGGGTCTGGACCGCTGCGCTGCCCTGCTCAGTGGGATGCTTCAGGCTGATAAGGCAGGTCAGAGGAGCTTCCTAATGTTTGTTACAGTTTGTTACAAGTAACAAAACAAAAGCTTGATCTAAAGTATCAACCTGTTCCTTTGTGGTTACACTGAGGATTTCCTGTTTTTTGTTAGATCTGTCAAACACTTACTGGTTGACTGCAACATAATAATAATAATAGTACTCTGTGTGTGTGTGTGTGTGTGTAAGTGTCTCCGAGGCTTCACAGAACAGTAAGCAGTGCAGCAGTCAAACCAAGGCTTTCCACATCAACGGGGAAAAAGAGCTCGAAGAAAGGGCCTCCAAAGGCAGGTGGGCGTGTTCGAGGTTTGCTTTACTGCACACAGTCGCTGAGAACAAAATGACATAAAGGTCTCGTGTTAATTCCACTGCAGAGGACAGGATTACATTGGTGTCCAAAAGCTTTTAGGATTTTTGTTCATTTGTTCTGGAAAATGGATTCAAGGCTTATAACTTAGCAACAGTTGCTTAGAGCCGCCTCCAGGAGCCTCTCAGAGCTGAACCATCCATGTTCTGTTGGTCATATGGGGCAGAGACTAAGAACGGACCCCCGACGTCCCTCCCCAGCCCCCTCCTGCAGCTCATCTGGGGGAACGCTAAGACATTTCCAGGCCAGCTTAGAGATAGTGTGTGATGTGCCAGGGCCGCCTTCTCGTGGGACATGCCCAAACACCCAGGAGGCATCATAACGAGCCACCTCAGGTTCCTCCCTTTGATGTCCCTCCTGAACGACTGACATTCCTACTCTCACTTAGAGGAGAGGCCGGCCACCCTTTGGAGGAAGCTCCTTCTTTTAATCAATCACTAACAATCAAGACTGACTTGAAAGGTTTTTAAAGGGCAGGACGTTAGCACCAACAAGCTGATTGGCTGATGCAGCTTTATAAATATGTGAGAAAACACGTGTAGAAAGTCTAATGTTAATCATTCCTCCACCTTCCAGGCCAGAAGAGCGCGTCAGGCCGGCATGGATCGGACAGCAGAGCTCCACGAGGACACCCGTCTGCCCGTCCTGCACCACATTCAGGAGTGAAGCTCCACCCACCTCAGAAACCATGTCCCACCCAGCTGCAGTCTCACTTACTTTCCCCTCGGCTTCTTCCTCACGCCGTCGGTCCACCCCAGCACGAGGCGTCCGTCCTTCTGTC